TAGAGTAAGATAAAATAAAGTCTTTTGCCTCCATCTTTTGAAATTTACACCACAAAAGCGGAAGGGTTTATTAAGATCACCCACTCCTATGGAGCTTTACCTATGCACATTAGTGTTTTCCATTAGTACGTATAATCTCAAATTGTTGAAAAAATAGAACAATATTACCTAAAAATTTTGAATGAAAAACACCAAAGCGAGTTTTACTTGAAATTTTATAAGTGATCGTGTCGAGGCATAACAAGGTTGCTTTTTGAGGCGATATGTGATGTCCGTAGAATTTTTTTTATGCAACGGATCATGGATATATTGCACGTCGTCCCAAGGATATAACAAGCTCGGCCACCTTGTTACGTCTTGACAAGTTTGCACTACTTGTAAGACTTAAAACTCAATTATAAACTAGCACCACTCTTACCCAAAAGAAGATTAACAACAAAAAAAAATATGGCTTTTAGTGGGAAATAAAAAGCAATAAAATTGAAAGAAACTTTTTCTCTCTAAGAAAAAAAAGAAAAAAATTACTTGTTATTTTTTCACTCTCCATAAAGCAAGGAAATGTTTCTGCTGAAGTGAAGTTCACCAATTGGCAAGAGCCATTTATATAGGAAAAAAATTGCATGTTGGTTGCTCGAATTAATTGAAAATAAATCAATTGAACGGAAGAAACATTTAGAATTAAAAAATTGTTGTTTTCATTAAATGAGAAAAAGAAAAACGGATGCGACCTTTTTTAAAACACAACTCAATGTATAAGGTACTGTTTGAAACAGATAATTTATACCATTAAAGTGAAGAGGTATAAGTTACTTGTTTCAAAATGTAACTTATACCTCCCTTTTTTAAAAAAAATATAAAAATATATATTTTATTAAAAATAATCCAACAACCGGAAGTAAAGGAAAAAAAATTGTTTGCATTGCACATGATGATGATGATATCTCGCTCAACTCGCCTCTTCTAAAATTTTCTAATCTAATCAAAAGTGTGTCTCTAATTCTTATCTAATAAAATATGATAGAAGCTCCTCTTGTATTGTAGTGGAAGAATTGCCATCACTAATTTCTCACTCATGCTTCCTCCCGAATATATCGGGGGATATAATTTATATTATTATTTAATACACCCCATGTTATCTTGTGCTTAATTAATCGAAGAGAAAGTGACGATGATAGGATTCAAACTCTTTACCCTTTAATCATTAAGACTCGATATTAGGACCATTTCATCTAAAAGCTTAAATTGTTAGGTAAAGCTCGGGATATGATTTATATTATTCTTTAACAAATAACAAGCAAACCTTAGGAAGCCGAACAATGTGAATTTCCACTTTTTTCAATCCTTTGTAGAATAAATTTATGAAGCTTCGAATAGAAAACTTCCATTACGGATCTCTTTTTCACTTTATATATAGGATGTCATCCGTAGACTTTGTCTACCTTAATTGCACTTGAGACAAAACAACTCATAATTCTATTTTTCTTTATTCCTCTATTCATGTTGTCATCTTCAATACTATTGTATAAGATCTCGGATCTTGCTCCTTTTGCTAGCTTCGAGCATCTCCGAGTCCATACTAAATATAGATTAGTACGGACGACTATAATGTTTTACGAGTAATAAGTTCGTAATGGGTCAAAATTGCATTTGGTAGCTTAGTTGCCAACATAATTTTAAATAACGATCTTTACGTTATATAATAGCGATTATATAAGGATTTCAGAATATATCATTATTATTATTTTAATATTATAATAAGTTACAATTAATAATAACAATTGAGATTGTGTTGTCGGCCATTCTCGATTTAAAATTCTATAGCCAAGTCTGAGAGGAGGTTTTTCATAGTGCCATTCTTTCAGTTTCGTTACTTATTTTATAGATATAAATCTTACCACCACCTACACTTGTCACATAAACGCAAAAGATCATAAGCAAATTCTGAAGGTTTTTCATATGCATCTTTTCACCTCTATTTTTCTTTTGCTTCGCATGTTTGCTTGATATTATAATCCAAAAAATAAAAAATAAAAAAGGATAATGGCTGCACTAGAAATATTCTTACGTTCTTGATGAATTTTGAAGGATTGACGAAGCACTTTTCTCCTTCACTTAGAATCACTCGCAAGGAACTTCTTATCATGCCAGCTGAGACCTTATTCTCCAAGCAAATACCTTTTCAAGGGAACCGGCCAGTCAAACTGCTTGTATGACATTTTGAGAATAAAATTTAAATTTAGGTAAAATGCTAATTAAAATTAAAAAAAAAAACAACTTAAATGAATTTATAAAAATCATGCGAAACATAAACTAAGATTTTTGTGTTTCAAAAGTCAATGACTCCATTAATTATCAATGCCCGCACTTACAAATACGAATGATTGGTCGATGAAGTATATATTTCTTTCATTCATGATTTGAATCGCCTATTATTTGAAGTAGAATCCTATATTGTCGTGGAGCTAGATACTTGAATGTGGTATGAGAGAGAGGTTATGTACATAAGAGGGGAAGAATATAATCCAACACTTCTCGCATATGAGAATTAGAATTATATGAAAGATTAAATTAGATAAATTCAATCATGTTAATTTGTTTTTTTAATTTATAGATACTAAGATTTTTTTAAATCAATTTTTTTAATTAAATTAATGTCAAAATACTTTTAAAGGTTGATTATTTATTGGGCTTGGCTAAATCTGATATTATCAGAAATAAAAGAGAGAGTTATATTTTTTTGGTGTTCGAACCTTAATTGAGTGTTTTTGCCTTTTTTATTATTTAAATGTGTGATTTTTTTTAAAAATTAAGTATGACATTTTGAGAATAAAATTGAAGTTTAGGTAAAATGCTAATTAAAATTAAAAAAAAACAACTTAAATGAACTTATAAAAAATCATACTAAACATAAACTAAGATAATTTTTGTGTTTCAAAAGTCAATAACTGCGGATTAATTATCAATGCCCGCACTTACAAAAACGAAGGATTGGTCGATGAAGTATATATTTCTTTCCTTGATGATTTGAATCACCTATACCATTTTAAGTAGAGAATCCTATATTGTCGTGGAGCGCGATGCTAGAATGTGGTATGCAAGAGACGTTATATACATAAGACGGGAAGAATATAATCTAACATATCTCACATATGAGAATTAGAATTATAGGAAGATTAAATTAGATAAATTCAATCACGTTAATTTTTTTTTTATAAATATTAAGATATTTTTGAATTAATTTTTATATCAATCAAGACTAAATTTATCACTTTCTTAATTAAGTTAATATCAAAATATTTTTAACATTTGATCGTCTATTGGACTTAGCTAAATCTGATGCTATTAGAAAATAAAAAAGAGTTATATTTTTAGTTTTCGAACCGTAATTGAGTATTTTTATTTTTTTTTATTATTTAAATGTGTGATTTTTTTTATTAAATATATATAATAAATTTTTTTTTAAAAAATTTAAATACATACAAAAGCGACTGTTAAATTGATATGTTAATATATTGACGTATATACTAAATATACATGCTAGCGTATTTTTTATTATACTCTTTTTTTTTCTACGAAACCCATAGGTTGCCCTATGTTATCCCTGATTAGTCAGTTTAGCCCATGTGTTATTAATTAAGCCAATTAAACCCCATGTTACGTTATTGTAGTCAAATAAGACCAATCAAGCCAATGGACAAGTTTTTGAAAATCAGGTTAATGATCTTATAGATTAGTTAGAGATTATCTAATTGATCTTTGACTGAAGAAAAGAAAGGAGTTAAACGTCAAATTGTCCACGTACTACATGGATTTGTTTAGTTTGTCCCTATATTATTATTTTGGTTTATTAAATCCCTCAAACATATTTACTTGATTCAATATGTCACTAGATTCAACAAACAAGAAACCACGGTTATTTTATTACATGTGACATTTTATAAGGTGACATGTGTTCAAAATTTAATTTAAAAGTTTTTTTTATAAAATAAAAATTTTTAAATTTTAAAAATAATTTTTTTTCTAAATTTATTTATTTGTAATTTTTCCTAATAAAGAGCAAATCTTGTATTTTTTTTAAAAAAAATTTCATGAAAATTATAAATAAAGAAAATAAAAAACTTCTTTGAAATTATAAATACTAAAGAAGTACTTAAAATTTATTCTATTTTTTTCAGAAAAATTATAAATAAAGAAAAAAATATAAATAAAGACATTTTAAAAAATTTGTTTTATACTGAATTTTTTTTACCTCTAAATTAAACTTTACACACGTGTCACCTTATAAGTATGCACCTATCCTAAGCTTATAAATATGTTTTAACAAATGAGGTAGACCATGGGTTTAGCCAATTTTTTATCGGGTTAAGAAATCAGGATATTTCTTTACTATTTCAATTGTCTTAATCGTATCTTTTTATTATAATTTTTAATTATCGTAAAATTCTATTATTAATTGCATTTGGATTTGATTCATCTTATTACTTTTTCGGGTAACAAAGATAAAAATAACAAAACAAAAAATGTTAAAAATTATCTTCATTGTTTGAAAAAATAATCCAAAGAAATACATATATAATTAAGAGTAGATGGATATGAAAATTGAAAATTTTAATTTAAGGAACAATTAAAATATTTAAAATAATAGAGGGAAGTACTGTTTCTTTAACCCATTTTTTATCAGTAGCGAATCCTTTTTACCACATGGAAAACGAGCCGGCTGATTGAAATCACGGCATCGTAATTCAATTCAACCACCACGTGGCAGTTTCACATCAAGTCAATGTCAATCCACCACTCTACAAACTTCTCACGCACTAACTAATCACTAATCACTAATCATTCACTTAATTAACACTAAAAAACACTAATCTCTCAGATCTAAAATCTGCCGTTTCAAATTAAGAAACAATAAAAACCCTCCTAAACACACCCACTTTTGGTAACAATTTCTCGCAAAATCTCCAATTTATCGTCCCAGTCACCCAGTTCTCTGATCTGAAATGGGAAAAGGTGGCGGTTGCGTTCCGAGCAAGAAAAAACAACCACTAGTCTCCGACGATCCTGTTTCCACCCGCGAAGCAGCGCCAATCCCTGTTACAGTCGAAGAGACTAATGACATCGCTAGCACGTCTGTAGAGCCGACGATTTCAGCAAAATTAAAAATTTTCATAGTGTTTTACTCCATGTATGGACACGTGGAAGGATTGGCGAAGAGAATGAAGAAAGGGGTGGATGGAGTGGAAGGAGTTGAGGCTTTTCTGTATCGGGTGGCGGAAACGTTGTCTGATGATGTTTTGATCAAGATGAAGGCTCCGGAGAAAGATGTTGGGATCCCGGAGCTTACGGCGGCAGAGTTGGTGAACGCGGATGGTGTTTTGTTTGGGTTTCCGACAAGGTATGGGTGTATGGCTGCGCAGATGAAAGCGTTTTTCGATTCAACGGGGCAGTTGTGGAAGGAGCAGAAACTTGCTGGGAAACCGGCTGGGTTTTTTGTTAGTACTGGGACTCAAGGCGGAGGTCAAGAAACTACTGCGTAAGTTAATAATATCTGCCTCTGTTGGAAGATTCAAATTTAATGTTGCTGTTAGAATATGAATCTCTTTTAATGGCTTACTATATCATAATTATGTTTAGCGATGTTCACTTTCGATCTCAGTTTCTTATTGATTCCATGACTAGAAAACCAGGGAAAGCTAAATTTTGTTTTGTAGAAGGAATAATTATTTGAATGTGAAAGACATAGCCTTTTATTCTTTAAGATTTTATACAGGATGTCTTTTTTTCTTCAATTCAAGGTTTTATTCGGGTGAGGGATTTAGGTTGGAAAGAATAATTCATGGAAAGTATTGGTATCTTCGAAACATGGACATTCAGATGCGGGAAAACTCGTTTGAGCTCTAAGCAAATGATGAATAGAAAACCTTCATCGGCCTGTGAATTAGTGCAAAAAAGAGAAGAAAAGGAACGAAAGTAATTGAAATGAAAATGAGGCAAACATATAGCTCAATAAGAACAGTACTAGATACTATAAAAGTGATGCAACAGGGGTTTTAGGGAGAGAGATGGGAGTGCGGAGTTGACAATAATGTGTAATTGTAACCAGGTGGATTTTAGGGTCTGTTTGAGTTTCCCGGAATTTTGACATGCCATCAGCTTGTGAGACATTTATACTTGCTAAGTCAGCTCACTAAATCGAGCTTGAGTTACCTTTGTATTGGCATTATCAGGTTCTGTTTCAAGGTTGATGTCCCTAACCCTTTGTTCTTGGTATATGTTTTTTGCTTGTCAGAATGAAAACTTTGTTTATAGATGAAATTGTGCCTTCTGATAAGCAAAAAGAGGTTGGTTTCTTTCTCCGTAATTGTAGTGCATCTATTTCAGAAATTTTGATGTTTTATCCTTTGTCTTGATAATTGAGAGAGCTTGGCTTTTGTTCTGAAGTCACCTCTGTTGAATTAGTATTTGAAAAGATTGTAATATTATAGAGACGGTGATTTGGATTATTATGATAACTAATGAGAATCAATTATCTGTATGAATTCGTTTCTAGAAAACCAATATATTAATCATTTTACATTGCTTTAATCCTCTTGTTTGCGTTGGGGCAGATGGACAGCCATTACCCAGTTGACCCACCATGGGATGTTATTTGTTCCGGTTGGATACACCTTTGGAGCTGGTATGTTCAAGATGGATTCCATTCGAGGGGGCTCTCCATACGGTGCTGGAGTTTATGCTGGTGATGGCTCAAGAGAAGCAAATGAAACAGAATTGGCACTTGCCGAACATCAGGGTAAATATATGGCTACAATAGTCAAGAGGCTTGCCCTGACCTGATGACGTGCTTTAATCTTTAGAACACATTTGCCTCCCTTTATCCACTCCTCAAGTTGATAGCATTTGTTTGTAATTGGTCGTCGTGGTGTTTTACATACTGTCAGATTCAGAGAATCATACGCGAGTCAGTTCTATTTCTACATTTCTCCCCATTTCCACTTTGTGCAGAAAGCTGTATATGATTCGAAATTGTTGGAATAATGACATGAAATTGTTGGACACTTTGTTCTGTTTCCACATTTCTAATTTTTTATTTTTTATTTGATTGCAATCTTGTCCTTGAATGATGACTTGTTCAAATAGGCTTAAAGAACTCTGTTAACTCTCTGGACATGGACATCCTAACCTAACTCTTGATGACCTGTAGTGTCTAGTGGGGTAGTACTGTAATTTTAAATTGCTGACGATAGAAATAACCATTGTGGTCATTATCATCGATGATCGTGGCTTACTGTAATAATAAAATTAAAGATAACAAGATGTTCTAAAACTGTCATGCAATGGTAGGTATATAACACAACGGCCGTTAAAACTATGGGTAGTACAGTTCTAGCTAGTGTGAAAGGAACAACTGCGCAAGGAAGAAAGTTCCAACCATACAAGCAACAAACTTTACTAACAATGCATATTCTCTTTACATGATTTCAACAACCGAAGATTCCTGTAAAGCTCATTTTGTCTTCTTTTATAGCTTATTTTAAGAGACAGCCCTGGGTACAAGACATTGTTGCTGAGTTCGTAATGGAAGCTTCTGCTTACCTTGTACAACTAAAGGGGCATCCATGACTATTGATTAACACAAGAATTAGTTCTATAGGAATATGCCATACATAACTGTGAAGAGTTATTGACTTTATCATCAGAAAATGTCATTTAATCGAAGAATACTGGGCATGAGAAGCACAAAGATCTTCTGTAATCTAACCTTTAACGAATTTGGACGCAGTTTAGCCGTTTAGGAGAGCTGGAATGTGGATCTTCCTTCTTTTCTTGAGTCCCATATGGATATATATGAAGCTTCTGATCAAGAACTGGGATGTGAAGCAATCTGGAATTCATTGACAAGAAACAAGCTTCTAGTATAGAATAACAGAGACCATACAATTCTGTTCTGTTTATGGGATTAATTGCTTGTTTATAGGTTTGTGTCTCTCATGTGAAATAAAAGAAATTCGAGTGCATTGTATTTGATTTTTTTGGTAAAACGAAATTAGATGATTAAAACGAAATTATTTTTCTTTCTTTTTTAGGACCTATTCCAATCAACCTTTGTTCAGAAATATTAGAATCAGTCTTGATTGCAATTTTAGATTAGAGCATCGATAGTCTGATCACATATAAAGCAGGCCGAACAGCAGAGAATCTGATGCAACTTTCAGATTTTAATGGCCCATGGTTCGAGGCCCAGTTCAGTCTCCAAAGCCCTGCCACTGACAATATTCGGCAAAATAATATCTGATCCATTGGCAATGAAGAACTTTGCTTCCGTTGAAAAACGGTGAGTATTTACTGTTTTACCAAGATTAAAAAAAGCAAGGAAGCAAATCTCAGATTAGTCTCCAACTATATACAGTTTCTTGATTGAATCCCCAACTACCGATTTCATCAATTGAATCCTCCATCTATATATGCCTTTTCTCAAACAAATCCTTATGTTAAAATAATTGAGAACAAAAGTAATGATTTACATCCTAGTCACTTACGTTTGTGTCTAATCCTTACAAGTCGTAGATGCTAAAATACAATTTCTTACCCATTAACACATAAAAAAACACGTGTAGTCAAAATATAAGATTGTTGAAATTAAAATATACATTAATTTAGAGTTAATGAAATTACTTAAATAAAAAAAATTAATACAGTCTAATGGTAAAAATCAAAATTTATATACTCAAATAGAAAAAATAATAAATTTTGGAGATTATTTAGTATAGAGTTAATGAAACTATTTAAATATAAAAAATTACAAGTTAGTATAGTCAAATAGCAAAAATCAAAATTTACACACTTAAATAAAAAAAATAACAAGTTTGTACACTAAATAATAAATCTTACCACCTGTCTAATAGTATGATTCAATGTTCGTGTCACTTTTATTGTTAATGACTACGTTATTATAAAGTTAATGAGATATAACAAAAAGAATCAACTAAATTTTTTTTGACTTGATATGCTAAAATAACAAAAATTAAAAAAAAAATTGACAAGTTGAGACAAAAAAGGTAATTAACTCTAATTGGATATTTCCTTGAGAAATTAACACGTGACTGCACGTGCATTACTAAACACCATCTCCAATTATTTTAAGAAGATTATTCCATCAAAGAAAGTATCTAATGACCTAATTGATAAAATCAATAGTTAGAGGACTAAATATGAGAAATGCCAACAAAGTTTTAGATTCTATACTCTTAAACTCAACGCAACCTCTGCAGTTCCTAATGATATCATTACTTTGGCTTCCTTCTCTGTTTTATCTCCAATAAAAAGCTGCCCTGCTTCCTTTCAATCTCACACTCTCTCACTCTCTCCATATATGAATAAATATCCTCTCTGAAAATCTCTCTCCAAATCAAAATTGAATCAGGAGAAAAATCATGGCAGAGATTCTGGCTTCTTTAAGGTCTTTAATGGCGTCTCATTCTCCTCCTCTGGATGCCTTAGTTGTTCCATCTGAAGATTATCATCAGGTACTACGCTTTCACTTTAATTATCTTCAAAATTTTCAACGTTTGGATCGTAGTTATAAATGATAAAGGATTTTGCAGAGTGAGTATGTGTCTGATCGTGACAAGCGACGCGGATTCGTTTCTGGCTTTACAGGAAGCGCCGGTTAGTTTCGTTTATTGATTCCTTATGATAACTTCCTTTTAATTCAGATTGTGAATAAGTATGTGTTTGATGATGTTTTTGTGATTAGGTCTGGCTCTCGTTACAAAGAATGATGCCCGGCTGTGGACGGATGGCCGGTATTTCTTACAGGCAACACAGGAACTTAGTGATGAATGGAAGTTAATGCGTATGGGAGAGGATCCTGCTGTTGATGCATGGATGGCTGATGTCAGGCTTTACATTACATTTCTTTACACTATTCATCAACAATTTGTTGAATTTATAAGTTAATTTATTGTTATTACAAGTTTTAGTTTTATGTGGTATTAAGCATGTCTTTATATTTGGTTTTATTAGAATCTACCTGCGGAGGCGGCTATTGGGATTGATCCATGGTGTGTATCTGTGGAAACTGCGCAAAGATGGCAGCTTGCTTTTGCGAAAAAACAACAGAAACTAGTTCAGACCGAAACCAATTTGGTTGATGAAGTCTGGAAAAGTCGTCCTCCAGCGGAAATAAATCCAGTTATGGTTCATCCATTGGAGTTTACTGGACGTTCTGTTGCACAGAAGTTGAAGGATTTGAGAGAAAAGCTTAAAAATGAGAGAGCTCGTGGCATAATTATCACAACACTTGATGAGGCGAGTTTATATCATTCTTGCCCAAATAATTTGCTTGTTCAGACACATTGAATTGTTAAACCAAAATTTCTTCCATGCAGGTTGCCTGGTTGTATAATATTCGTGGGACTGATGTGTCCTATTGTCCAGTCGTTCATGCATTTGCTATAGTAACATCCAATTCAGCTTTCCTTTATGTGGACAAGAAGAAGGTGTCTGCTGAGGTCAGTTTCATAATTCATTTCAATTGTAGATGCTTCTCGTATGCATTTTTCTTTTCCTTCAACCTAGAGACTTTTATTTATTCTATATTTTCACTTTAATATGTGTTTTAGCTAGCACTCAATTTAATGTTGGTGCTCACCGATTTTTTTGATCAGATGTCAACTTTAAAACAATGTTTTCTGCCAGTCTCTCAATCACACTTCTGGATTCTTACACAAATATGAAGTTGTGGAAAGGAGCTTAATAAGTTGAATAGTTATGGATACCTAATTCATTTGTACCCATGCAGGCGAACCATTATATGGAGGAGAATGGAATTGATGTTCGAGATTACATTGCTGTGAGCTCAGATGCAGTATTGCTTGCATCTGATCAGCTCGACTCAACATCTAAAGTGAAAGGAACTCTGGCTAAAGTTACAAAGACTGACACCGCCATGGGAGATGGTATAACGGAAGCAGAAGGAAATAATATTGACCGTATATGGATTGACTCTGGTTCATGCTGCTATACTTTATTTTCAAAATTGAATTCTGAGAAGGTGCTCATGCAACAATCTCCTTTGGCCCTTGCAAAAGCTCTAAAGGTAGCACATTCACATCCAATGCCAATGAAGTTCTCTAGTAACCATAAACCAGCCTGTACAATATGATCTATTAATGTTACAATTTCAGTTGTCCTTCTAAAGATTCACGGAAAAGCTACATAAATTGCTCCCGGTTTACTGATTGAGAAAAATCTACTTAATTGTGTTCATAGTGACACATTGCAGGAGCTAGTTTTTCCTCATTCTTAATTGTTTCAATGTGTTAGAATCCGGTTGAGTTGGATGGCTTAAAGAAGGCACACATTCGGGATGGTGCTGCTGTTGTGCAATATCTTGTCTGGTTAGATAAGCAGGTAATTCTGAAACCAAGAGTTTCTGAGCAATTGATGAATGCAGTTTTTGGCTGTTTATTTCTCTTAAATGTGCTCAAGCTTGAACTGATACATTCATCAGCATCCGCCAAAAATATTTGAACCTGATGCCAAATCTTGTCTTGAACATGCAGATGCAGGAGTTATATGGGGCTTCAGGGTATTTCTTGGAGGGGCAAAGTGCTTATAACAAAAAGGATTTGTAAGTTTTCGGTTGTTGTAGTTGGTACTATCTATCCATGATTAGAAGTTGTAGATAGACATCCATAAAGTTTCATATTGGAAATGTTGCATCAGACATCTGGATGTAACCTGATTTTGCCTAGTAAAAAATATGGAAGATGCAACCTTTGAAATATAGACTGCTGATATAGCTGTGTATTAAGCATGACATAAGGATAAGAAGTATGACATCGAAATGCTGGCAAGTGTTCCATTGTTGCGTGTTGTGTGTGCGTGCGTGTGTCTGTGTGAGAGAGAAAGATTATAGACTGAAGCTGTGTCACATCTGATTAATTTTATATTGTACTATATATTTCTTGTTTGGTATATGCATGAGAGACGGAGCTTATAGAACCAATCAAATCATATTATCAGTGCCAAATTGAAATGGATCCTGCTGACTTTTATGAACCTTTTGTCACAAACTTTCCCTTAGATAGTGTGCCTACTGAAATGGCAGAAAAACAGTTCCCATTCATTGGCATTTATTTCATCCATTGTGTGTCATATGAGCATTTTCTATAGTAAGACAGATGAAACTGGAAATTTCTATCTGTTGATTTTTGTTTCTCGTACAACTTCATCACTAAAGGTATAATTATACCTGATATGGCAATTGATACTTTAATTTTATTTTTATCTATAATTATACAAATAATGAACTTGATGTAAGGACAACTTTTCACAAGCTTGACTTGTCGTTTTTTGTTTTGGACTTTACATCATGCACCATGCTTGCTTGCCATTTTTTTTTTCCTGATAAAGTGCATCATTGCCGTTTTACTGGTAAACTCACTACTATTTCTTTTTACCAGAATTATATTTTAAAAAGACATTATGTGATTGGGTCCCTTTTCTTTTGCTCTTCTAAATATTCTTTTATCTGGGGATTTTCTATACCTTTTGTGCCCTACTGCACAAGATCATCGAACAATGAATGCACACAAAATGGTGTAAGCTTGACATGTCATGGGGGCATTTTTCTCACCTTAATGGTATATGCTATGGCAGGGAAGCTATGAAACTGACAGAGGTAACTGTAAGTGATAAGCTGGAGGGTTTCCGAGCATCCAAAGAGGTATTCCCACCATATACATTTAGAAAAGTTTTTATTATATTGAACAAATTAACAGTTTAATTAACAGACAATATATATTGCAAGAGATCTTCTTTCTTAGTTGTTATATCAATATCAACTTCTGTTCGTGGTGAAAAGAAGAGTAGGTACTGTCAGTTTCTAGGTATTAAGTTGGCATTTTCATGCATTATTATTTTTATTTGATTCAAATGTTATGGAGCAACTGACATTTGATTTTTGTTATGCCACGTGAAAAGGAAAATTTTGTCCGATAAGCAGTTTGTAAATCTGTTATGATTTCATGCAGTGCTTTATCACCTGTTCCCAGGGTCTTCACTTGGAAGCTAGAGATTAATATTTTCTTGATTGTGGTTTCTGTGTCATTTTTGATAATTGTGGATGGAGGAAGGTTATGGAAGAGAGCCAGATATAAATTGAGATAAACTGGATTAAATTAAGACGTCATGACTTTATTATTGAGTATTTGAAACTGAACTTTTCCTGTAAATATAATTAAGAAATTTTGGTGTCTTCTACTTTGTAGCAGTGTTTTACTTGTGGTTTTTTGGTTAATAGGTCTAGTCTATTTCCAACATTTATTTTCAAAGTGACCCTCACACTTAATGCACATAAATGTGTCTAGTGAGTTGTTATAATATGCTTGGGTTTTTTCTCCTTGTATTGGTTGTGATGGGCAAAATTTAGATAAAATGGACTGGATCACATTTTCGTTGGAGAGTTTTGTTCCTAGTATGAAAATTAAGGGCATCATCGTCTAAAATCATTTCAACTCAAGGAATAGAGCTAGCTATTTGTAAGGCCAAGTGGCAACAAGGAAGCGCTCATATTACTTGTCTCAGATATTTAATTTTGGTGCAACATTTTTTTTTGTTTTGTCTGTTTCTCGCATTCAAGTAGTTTGACATATATATATATATTTTTTGTTATGTGGTACAAATGGCAGAATTTTAGAGGGTTAAGTTTCCCAACAATTTCATCAGTTGGTCCAAATGCAGCAATCATCCATTATTCTCCACAGGCTGAAACATGTGCAGAGCTCAATCCAGACAACATCTATCTGTTTGATTCTGGAGCACAGGTTCAGTAATTGTTAGGCTTATGATCACGAATACATACCATTTACTCTGTATAATAGCTGCTTAATGATGTCTTATTTTCCTTCGATATTGTTTATGGCATGAAGTATCTGGATGGAACAACTGACATAACTCGCACAGTCCATTTTGGGAAACCATCAGCGCATGAAAAAGCATGCTACACTGCAGTATGTGGCTTCAGACTTCCCTTTGAACATTTCAATTTTTTGGAACACGAGTTACAAAGCACTCCCTTTCTCTCTTCCCGCTCCTTTTCAGCTAACTCGTAGAAAATTGATATTATACAGGTCCTCAAGGGTCATATTGCTTTGGGTAATGCTTGTTTTCCTAATGGAACCAACGGTAATTTCTTCTTTTTTTCTCTCAGTTGTTTATATACATGTGAATGAGCAACTGGCAAAATAAATTGCATTGAAGTATCAAATTCTTATGGAAGGATGGTCTTGATTATTTTACAGGTCATGCCCTTGACATTCTTGCTCGAATTCCTTTATGGAAGGATGGTCTTGATTATCGACATGGCACTGGTCATGGAATTGGATCATACCTAAATGTACACGAAGGTAAGCAATGAACAATGGCTGTTAACTTTTGCATCTTTTATTCCTTTCTGTTTTTAGTTTGATAAATAAGCTGATTAGTGTTTCTTAAACTATCGTGACAGGACCTCATTTAATTAGTTTCAGACCACATGCTCGTAATGTGCCACTGCAAGCTTCCATGACTGTAACGGATGGTTAGTTCATAACCTTTTGCCTTTAGTTGTAGGACAGAGAGATATCTCTAAAATACTATGGCTTTGACTTGATTATATTAGTTATTCCTACTCTAATGCCTTCATTTCTGTAAACTTCTGTTTCTGGCATAATTGTTCTGAGTCAAATACCCTGCACTTTATTGGGACGCATTGAGTTCGGGAGATAGTCAAGAGACCATCATATGAGGACTATGCACCCTGATATAGCTTATCTATTTTTACCGACTCATTAATCTCAACCTAAAGTATTACTCTCTGATTAACCTTTAGATGTTGTTTGATTGATATCTATGCATTTTCTTCTAGTTTCAAGAATTAAAAATGTATTTATATGATAGAACCGTTAAAATTCTATAATGCTGAGATTGGATTTCTCAGAACCTGGATACTACGAGGATGGGAACTTTGGAATAAGATTGGAGAATGTGCTTATAGTCAACAAGGCTGGTACAAAGTTCAATTTTGGTGACAAGGGCTACTTATCATTCGAGCATATAACATGGGTAAGCACATGTGTGTCCATCAAATTTGTGCTGTGATTGTTGCTTGTCTACTTTTTTTCCTGTTGCTGAATATGTTTCAATTTTTCTCACACCTGTGTTCTTCTTCTTTCGAATAATTTGTTTCTTGAGGTAAGACTCTGGACATGACTTCCTTTTTAGTCTAGGCTTTTGGGTTAAGGTGGTGTCCATTTTTGTGTTTAAGCCTTCTCACGTGCAGGCCTGAGTGACTTCCTAATGCTAGTTCTCCCCTACACATACAAATACTGGAAAATTAATCCAATATCCCAATGAGTTAAAATGATCAACTACTTGAATTTAGAGAAATGATAAGTAACTTGTTTGGTCAAGTTGGAAGAGTAAATCTTGAATGTATCAAACTGAGGGTCCCAAGCTCTAACTTGAGCCTTTTACTAGTTAGAAAATTAATTTCCAGGTTTTCGTACTTAGAAAAGTTCACAATAATGTCCAATTTGGCCTCTCCCCATGGCTCAATTAGCTTTAAAGTTCAAGGCGCGCTATTATAGTTGCTGATAAATTACTTTAAAACTACTGTCTTTGGGTACTTGGTAAACATTTTCTCTGCAAAAAATTAGCTTTGAAGCACTAATCTTAATACCTTCTGATTTACATGGACTTTCTGTGTTTGTATGGTCGCATAAACATTGAATCTCCTGTCACCTTCTGTCATTTTAACTTGTATTTTTCCATTTTCCTCCCTGGACATTTGAGAATTCTGCATTTGCTAATGAAAAGTCCTATGTATTCTTCTAACTTCTACTAATTCAGTTTTTCTTATCAACCTTCCATGATCTGTTGATGTCAGGCACCATATCAAACAAAGTTGATTGACTTGAGCCTATTAGTTCCTGAAGAGATAAATTGGCTGAATACCTACCATGCGAGATGTAGGGATATTTTGGCCTCGCATTTGGATGAATCTGAGATGGCATGGCTGAATAAAGCTACCGAACCCGTAGGTGTGTGATTCTTACTCGCTCCATACACCCTCGCAAATCAAATCCTCTCATAAAATAGTAACATAAGATGAGGAAAACTGAACTTCAGCTTGTAATTGCACATCCAACTTTATATTTATTTTTATTTCACAAGGGAACTTTAAACTCCTTAATCAGTTTGTGAATTCTAAATTATGCAAGATTTAATGTGTTTATGACAAAATCAGCCAAATTTTATTTCCTGCTTGTTCATTAGAAAAAGAAATCATAGCCACAACGGCCTTTGATATTTATTCGAAGAGGACTTCATGTACTCGGTGCATGGATAAGTTGTAGTTATTGCAGCAAGTCTCTCTTTAGAGGATCTCTATTGTTTCTGAGAGCTTTGATCATCCCCCTGTTCTGCATAGAGTGGCCATGCAATCATCGGCACTCCATTAACTCTGCTCTCTAGGGCTGAGCTCCAACCACAATGTGACAAAAATCCACCCAATGACGGATTGTTTCAAGATCTCAGCTTGTGGGGCTTGCAATGGGACATCTAATCCCATATTCTTGGTTCGGGTCCAGAATCCATCCGAAAAAAAATCTAGGGTGACAATGTCGTCACTAGTGTGCCCTGCCTTGAGCAAAGCTGCTGCTTCTTTTTCGGTGGAGGAATTGACTAAATAAATTTAATCTGGCTAATAGAAAAAGAATTTGACCAAACTAAGAAACAAAGAATCCAGTTATTTCGGCATAAGTTATTAAAATAAAATCTTAAAAAGAAAAAAATTTAATTGTCTTTTGGACCAAAATTTGCAAACATAGTTAGACCTAATGGTTATTGATACAGTTAAAATCATATCGAATAATAGCATAGGAAGAAAACAGTATCTTGTGCTTTTATTCATTGTGAGGCACGACGGTAATATTTATAACCTATATAGATCCTAAATATTTATAACCTATATAAATCCTAGGTCGAAGGTGTTATTGACGCTTGGATGATATGGTTCCCCGCTATCGAATGAAACATAAATAACAGACTCACTAGGTTGGGCATCTAGCCAACCTAACACCTCATACGTTAGATATGGTTTGATCTGTCTGAGCAGCGGCCAATTGGGTAGATCGGAAGCGGAGACACCCTCCCCAACAACCTTCTATCTCCATGTGCTCCAGTTGTTTTAGGCTCCAAATCTTGCCGTTTGTTCACTAGTATACCGTCGAACTTCTGTACCTCAACTCCCATGCGTGTGTACTCGATGTACATCTGATTGTTCCGGTCTGGAACTGGTTCAAAGCAGCTCTCAAATGCAAGTGATTTGCAACTAGGAATTGGTAGTAGTTCTTGATTCTTAAAATGATTATCTTCTACTGCCTTCTCAAGGGTTGTCATATGCAAGGTAAGTGCAAGAAACCATGTAGTGGAAGTAATAAACACACACACACACACACACACACACACACACACACATATATATATATAATAGATTTAGAATATATAGAATAAATAGAAAAAAAAATCATCTAAATTATAGAAAAATATATTGAAGCCAATAGATTAAAATAAAAACTACAACAAAATTGATTTTGATAAATTCTGAATAAATATATAAAAAAAGCAAATAAAATTTATGAATTTTTTGAACTCATTATTATTTTTCTAAAAAACAAAAATTGAGTCAAACCATCTAAAACATACTTTTAGCTCTCTCTCTCTCTCTCTCTCTCTCTCTCTCTCTCTCTCTCTCTCTCTCTCTCTCTCTATATATATATATATATATATATATATATATATGTATGTATGTATGTATGTATGACACTCATTTAAAAATATAAAAATAATTTATTTATTATATAAATTATAAAAATATATTTTAAAAAATAAAACATTGACGCTCTAAAATTTTATTCCAATATTCATATATTAAAAAATTAAATTTATTAACAAATAAAATTAAATCAAAAAATTAATTTAATGAGAAATTTAATAAGAAACAAATAATTGAAGAAAAAAATTTTAAACAATAAAAATAAATAATCGGATATATATGTTAACAACAATGTCAAAAATATAATTAATATTGGTTCATGGATATTAAAGGGATCAATAATATATATGTTTTCTTTCACGGTGAAGGAACCAATTATATATGATCGCTTAACTCGTACATTACTTGCTAGAGATCTAGTTATGTTATGACAATATGTATATTCTTTTAAAAGGTTTTCTTTCGCCTCTTGGTGATCCAATCCTAAAACACATCAAGATTTAAAATAATTAGCGAACTTTTTTTTGTTCTATCATGAGATTGATAGCTAAACTTTTAAAAATATAAAATAAATTATAGAAAAAAAAAAGAGCAAGGTCATGCTCGATTGGTATATATATTATTTTTTTATAAAAAAAAACTAATTATTATTTTTTAAAAAAATTAAGTAAAATTATCTAAAACACACTTTTAGCCTCTCTCCCTCATCGGAATTTACATATGCAATTACGCTACTCTCATTTAAAAATCATAAAAAAAAATCAATCATATAAATTATAATAATATATTTTAAAAATTAAAACAATCAAGTTTTAAAATTTTATTTCAAAATTCATAAATTAAAAATCAAATTTATTAACAAATAAAATTATATAAAATTAAAAAATTAATTCGATGAGAATTTTAATAAGAAAAAAATAATTGAAGAAATAAATTTTAAACAATAAAAATAATATAATCGGATATATATGTTTAAAGTAAAAATTTTAAACATATATATATATATATATTCTATTACCATAAAAGCTGTACACGAAACTTAAAAAATAACGATCTTTTTTATATTCTCATACCTAATTTTCATGATAAAAAATATAAAAATAAATTATTAGAAGGAAAAAAAGAAAAAGAAGGCAAACGCCGGTTGGGGGTACTTGTGCATGCACGCTTGAGCTCGCTTCTTAAGGCCGATCCTATGAAAAAAAAAAAAAACTACAGCAAAATGAGTTAGGCTAGTTGCTGGAGCCCGCTTCTTTAGGCCGGCACTAAAAAAAAAAAAAACGCTGCGATAAATGAATAGAGAAAACCTTAGTTCTTTTATTTTTTTTAGAATAATTATAATATATGAAACACACTTCTAGCTCTCTTTTTCTCATCGAATTTATACATGCAACAACGTTATTTTAATTGAAAAATCATAAAAACAATCAATCATATAAATTATAATAATATATTTTTTAAAAAATAAAACAATCGGGTTTTAAAATTTTATTTCAAAATCCATGTATAAAAAAATCAAATTTATTAACAAATAAAATCATATAAAATTTAAAAGTTAATTTTATGAGAATTTTAATAAGAAACAAACAATTGAAGAAATAAATTTTAAATAATAAAAATAATATAATCAGATATATATGTTCAAACTAAAATTTTTAAAAAATATCGTATATATTCTATTACTTGTCAAACTATACATAAAATAAAAACATAACGATGTTTTTTTATATTTTCACACCTAATTTCATGATAAAAAAATACATAAAAAAATTATTTATATAGAAGGGGAACAATTGTCATCCGATGTTTAAATAAATCATTCATTAATAAATATTATATTATTATACCAATATATTTAAGAAAATATTTAACTAATACAATGTAATATTAATTTAATTATATGGTATAATTATCAAATGTATTATATTAATAAAATACTTATTAATTTTTATATATATTCAAATTCATAAAATAATATATCAATATGTTATTTATATCATAATAAAAAATAATAAAAAAGTATTATATTGTATAATAAATACAATATTCACAATCAAAGTACAAATAACTATTTTATAATAATAATTTGATATATATTTTTAAATATAATGATGATATATTATAATTATTAATAATAAATAATTTTATTATTGAAAAAAATATATTTCTAATAAATAAGGACCTAAATAATATATTTGACCATATTAGAATAGTCATACAAATATAGAAACTGAAAAAAAAAATGAGGCCGGACGTTAAAAAAATAAAATAAAAAAGCACTGCATATATACAATATTCACAATCAAAATACTAATAACTATTTTATAATATTTATTTGATGTTTTTTGTACAATATAATGATAATGTATTATAATTATTAACTATAAATAATTTTATTATTTAAACAAAATATATTTATAATAAATAAAGATCAAATAATATATTTGATCTTATAATAATTAGTCCTACAAATATAGAAACTGAAAAAAAAGGAGGCTAGACGTTAAAAAAAAAAAAACACTACTATTTTTTTTGTAAAATATAATGATAATACATTATAATTATTAATTATAATAATAATCCTACAAATACTTTAATAGTTGGGAGAAAGGATAAATTAGTCAACAAATTATATTACCACGAAGGCAATGAAGGTTGCGAGTCTACTCATTAGAGAATGGAGAACGATGCATGAGTAAAGAAGTTCATATATATCAATAGATCTATAAGAATGGAATACATTAAAAAAAAAAAAAAAAGGGAGGGGAACTGCTATAGTAAATAGAAATGACCAAAAGGACAAAAAAAAATTAGTTTTCAAACCAAAGGGACTAATTAATTTATTCCCTAGAGAATTATTATTATTATTATTTATTTCTTAAAGGAAAAAATAAAAATAGTAAAATGGTGAAAAGGACAGGAAAAAAATAAATTAGTTTTCAAACCAAAGGACTAATTAATTTATCTCTCAAAGAATGAGGGATCAAGATGCAAAAAAAAAAAAAAAAAAAAAGGGACATTGAGTGTATAGCTATAGTAAATGAATAGTTATACCCTCACATCTTTTAGTTTTTTTTACTAGTCATTTACCAGCGCTACGCTAGGGATGCGATAAAAAAAAATCATTTTAAAATTTTAATTTTTTTAGTTAATTAATTTTTTAATGTATTTTTATAATTTTTTTTGCTTAAAAAAACATAAATCATTCTTCTTTATGGATTGATTTTAAAAGGAAAAATATAATAATTTTAACTAAATATTAATCAAGAATTAAAAAACTATAAAAATATAATTTTTATAGTATTGTATTCCAAAAAATAAATTTATAATTAATAGAAAGATTTTTATAAAAATTAATAAATGAAAAAATTCTTATTTAATGCTATTGAGAAGATTAATTTTTTAAATTATCCATACAACGCTACGGCTATATAGAACAAAATCATTTAAAATTTTTATAATTTTTTATTAAATTATTATAATTTTTTTTTTATGTTTTTCATAATTTTTTTCTTAAAAAAACATATATTTGTTTTATGAATTCTTAAATAAAAACTCGTAATAATTTAAATCTAATATATTAATTAAGAATTCAAAAACAAATACTTTAAAATTATATATGTTTATAAGAATATACTTGTAAAAATAAAGTTACAATTAATGTATAGAATTGCAAAAAAAGTAAGCAATGAAAAAATAAAAATTTATTCTTATTTAATGTTGGTGAGAAGATTTGTTTTTCCTAACTATATGCATTATGTCTATATATTTTTGTTTACAAAATATCAACAAAATTAGCATAAAAAACTATTTTTGAATAATTGGTTGGTTCCTTTAAACAAAATTTTTAATTGTTTTATTTCAAATAAATTTGTTCTATAATGTTAAAAAAATATATTCATAGTAAATAATTTGTATTATGTTGGAAGATGTATAGTTAATTTTTAATAAAATTAATGATTCAATAGTTTTTTATATGTCTTAACCATACCTAATGAACTCGGACAAATTATTTGAAATATGTTTTTAACCTTTTAGAATAAAATAATTATATATTTATATATGTGCAACTATCATTTAAAATTTCTAAGAATTCATGATATATATTATATCAATTTACTTTTTAAAAACGAAAAAAAAATCATGTTTTAAAATTTTATTCTAAAATTCAAATATAAAGAAAAATAAATTATATTTATCAGTAAAAAAAATATTAATTGGATGAAAATTTTCATAAAAAATGATAAATTCAAAGAATGAAATTTAACTAATAAGAGTAATATAAGTCTGAAGTATATGTTAATTTTAAAATAGAAAAAAGATAGTGTTTATATATATATGCTATGTCAAAATTAAAGAAAAATAAAAACTAAGGATTAAAAAAAAAGTTACAACATGAGGGATGAAAATAGAAAAAAAATGTTAAATTTGCATATTGATGTCCAAAAACACTCCAAAAACACACAAAGAAACGACACATAAAAATTACTTAAATTGACATCAAGTGAATTTTCTGCTTAAAAAACATAAATCATTCTTCTTTATGGATTGGTTTTAAAATAAAAAATATAATAATTTCAACTAAAATATTAATCAAGAATTAAAAAACTATAAAATATAATTT